ATTACCAAAAACAACTGATTTATCCTGCTACAGTTTATACAACAATATCTTTGAAGTTACCTATTTAATAATTGAATTTTAACCGCAGTGGCAGGTGGCCAAAGACAATAAAAACCACTGTAATGGATTCTTTTAAAGCACTTTTAAAGTTATTTATCTATAAAATGGCCTGTTCTTATACAGTGCCTCCTCAAGTCAGGGAACTTGACCAAAGCGCTTTATACTACATTCAGTCATTCACCCACTCACACACACACACTGGTGGTGGTAAGCTACATCGTAGCCACAGCTGCCCTGAGGCTCACTGACAGAAGCAAGGCTGCCTTACACTGGCGCCACCAGGCCCTCTGAGCTCCATCAGTAGGCCCTGCAGGTGACGTGTCTTGCCCAAGGACACCCCAACACTGAAAGCCGGAGCTGGTGCTCGAACCGACAACCCTCCGATTGCAGGGTAAACTCCTCCACCTGATGCAACTGTCACCCCACCAAAGCTGAAATCCCCCTTTTGTAGTAAATAAATAAACTTTTCTGTAAAACTAACCTTAATGTTAACTTTGATTTTTTGTTAACATCTTATACGTTAAAAAAAACATCCTATATATTCATCATATCATAGTTTCATAATTTTCTAGAGTTTTCATTCATTTTCTGGTCATTTCTAAATATAAATACAAAAGTTCACGATTAAGTAATGGCATATATTTCTTCATCGATCCAGTCTTTAATATGGTACCTGCAGAAATCACAGGAGGAAAGGATCCACAGATGGATAAATGGATCCCAAATGAATAAAACTTTTAAATAATGGGATAAAGTCTGGAGGTATTAATATTCTGTTCTGTTTTTTGCAACCTTTTGCAGGATCCGTCAGCCATTACATCACCTCCTTTAATGTGGTCCAAAGCAATAAATTGGACACACATCTGTAATAAATCAGATGCCAAATGATGTTAGCTAAACGACTTACTTATAAGTTAACATAAGCGCACACAGAGTTGTGAGTAGAAATCTGCCAGCTTTGATTATGTCTCGACTTGATATATTCCCATCTCAATTTGGAAAGTCGGTCACTTTTGAATCAGATAACGAGTTAGCAATGTACAACCCTTTAAATCAAATAGGTATATATTCCAACATAATAAGATTCTGCATATTTTTCCCAGTTATATGATTTAAAGAAAAACAAAAGCCTATTTTTCCAGCATTAAACTAGTGTATTAATATTTTTTTTCATTTACTCACTTGATAAACTGTCCCATGTCCTCACACAGTGCTTCACAGCCAGGCCACTTGCACTCTCCATGACCGTAGAGGGGATGGGAGCTGCTGAGCTCCTCATGACTGCAGACAAACACACCAAAAAACGGAGACATCAGCGATGCTCCACTACAGATGTTACAATTTGTGAATAATCCCTACACCAGCTGAGCTCAGACACAATTGTATAAGAAACAGCAAAATATTTATTAGTCACTTTATTCAACACATGCATGCAATATGTGAACCTAACAGTAGTGCGCGTTGGCACAGGCATCTTAGTGCGGTTAGCTGTGATTAGTTGGTGCGGCTCTACGAGCCAAGAGCAGCGAAAGGACGACAGAACGAAGTGGGGGTTAGTTACAGAAGCCAGGCATAAAGAAAGGGAATCGGTCCAACAACCTCTGAAGTCCATGACCTATCTCCCTGCGTCTGGTGTGTGTTTTGCACGTGTGTTTGTATGCTGGTGTTGGCGTGTCTTCTACTGTTTCAGGAGCTGACACAGAGCCGGCGCAGGACCAACCAGCCGTGACTGATTGGTGGTGGTTGCTGTCATTTGCTGGTTGCTCTTTTGTGGTGAGCTGACGTGCGTGTACGTGTGTGTGCTTCTAGACGAGCGCAACAACCAGAGACCAGGTTTTTCGACAAATGCAGTAAAGTGTGTTTGTGCATGTGCGCGCGGCAGGTCCGGTAGCAGATGTGGTTCAGACCTGGAGCTGTGCCTCCGACTGCTGTCTCCACATTTATTTACATGACTTTAGCAGTGTGTGTGTGTGTGTGTGTGTGTGCGTTGTGCGAGTGAGTAGGTGCGGATGATGACTGGGATGGGGATTCTCCCAAATCAACATCAGAAGGTTGTCTAACAAAAACCATTTGTCTCGCAGATGGAAGCGCGTCTCGCTGCCTCACTTTCTCCCCCTTCCTGATCAGATGTGCAGTCTGGAGAGTTATGGCGGTGTGTTTGTGCGAGACCATCTCTGCCTGGTTTGTCTGCTTTTTGCTCAGGCGCAGCTCCTAAAGCAGACATGACAAACTGCTGCTAACCACATTGTTCTCCACATCAGCCATGAATTAGCTTAGCAGGCTAACACAGCAGCGCTGCCCTCTTTGTGATCACTGAGGCCACAAAAGAACAACAGCAGACCACTGTATGTTCTATCAGAATTTGACAGCAGGGCTCATCCGTCTCATCTCTTTAACTGTATGAGGAACATGTTGGGGTCCATTTACGGCCTTTAAGGGTTCCAGTTGAGTTTGAAATTTCTAAAGGTTAAAATTGGATCTTTTGAGTTAGTTCCTACTCCTTATTCAAAACTTCAAGGTAAGACAGTTTGAATATAGGGAAAGATCCCAAATCATTCTTTGGGTCTTACATCATATCCAATCAATTCTCAAGTCATTCATCTCAAGTTCAATTAAAACTTAAACTATAAAGTCTGTCTGGTTTGCTTCAATACTCTCCGGTCAAAAACAGACTGGACCAACCACAGCGAGGGAGAAGGGCCAATAATTCTACGGCGCTTTTCTGTAACCATAATAGGCCAGATTGCAAACTATTTATCAAAATAGTTTTCAAAAAATGATAAAACACAGAACATCTAGAGAGGTGCAGAACAAAAACATCTGATTTTGCAGAAAATATAAAAAAATTTTTTTATTCAAATAACTGTTTTATATATTTTGATGGGTCCAAAATACATAAATATTTACTATTGGTTAGGAACCCAAAGTCTGCACCAATAGGAAGGGGAGTTTAAAGTTATTTGAGATGGAGCTCAGGTATTGATAGGTTATAGCAGCTTCTTGATGGAGCTAAGACATGGCTTCTATTTAGTGCAAGATTTCTCCGATTCTAACCAAAAAAAAAAAAGCAAAAGGAGAACTTCAGTGAAGCTTTTGAGCATCTTTACTGACTTAAACAAACAAAGGGTCTGAGAAGCCATGCTGAGGTTCCGCTTTTCTTCTAAACAGTCAAGTCAAACGTTTGTCAATAGCCGTTTATCAATTCACAAGAACGCGAGTACGGACTCGTGTCCTTGTCAAGGATGTTCTTGAAAAGAACACAGGAAAGTGTGGACTTGGGGTGAATGGGAGCATGCGGCATAAATATGGGTCAATTGGAAAAGAAGCGTGCTGATGATGTCACCCCACGCTCAGCCAATCTGGAGCTGCATTTCACCTCCTGTTATTAATTATCTCTAGATAATAATACAATCTTAATTTTTTTCATTTAGTGGGGGAATAATAATTAACACAGCTA